AAGAAATATAATTTTTTAGATTTTATGAACAGCCAATGAGGTCACAATTGGCCACTCCAGACATTTTAGGCCGGACTAAACGGGCTCTTTAAAGAGTTGATGTTGCCCCTAAGGTAGGGGGAAGTTGTCCCCTTCAGAAATAAAAAAGTAACTAACCCCTTAGGTTTTTAAATAGATAACTGCAGGTATCACAAATGAGGTAGTAAAATATTATATGGTTTTCTTTTTCAAACCTGAAGTTGATCACCAACGTTAACAACCAATGCATTTGGAACCGGATCAACTGCTACCCATTTGTTATCCTTCATGATTTGTAAACCCGCAACGTTAGGAGTTGGTAGCACAACTGTGAGCGCATCTCTATCCGTGTGGACCCCCAATCCAAGTGTAAGGTCTGGATTTGGACAAGGCGGGTAGTAGTTCGCTTGTGCTCTACACAAAGGGTCTTTTCCCAATCTCTTCTGTAAATAATTTCCATCTTCCAATCCCAAGCCTTGAGACATCAAACTTAAAAGCTCACCCATTAAAATCCCAATCTCCTTAGCATATGCCGTGACTATGTTCCTTAAGTCATAAAAAAATTGATCATCTCCACATAATTAATGATGCAAACATGAATATTTTTTAAAAGAATATTAAAAAACTTACACTGTATACCAATTTTTTGTTTAAAAAAGGGTTGATGAAACATTGTTACATTATTAGCTATTAATGCATTCTGCGTACATACCATATTATCTAGTAACTTACCAGCTATTCTCATCACATTTAGAGGGGTTATTTGACTTATTTCGCTAAATGGCGAAATTTGTATAATTTTATGAAATTAATTTTTTTATCAATAAAATCAATTTCAGCCAAATGATAAGTTAGAAGCTGCTTATAATGATTATTTCCTTATTCTCCACTTTGCTAAATGGACCATGGGATTATTCGTACAACAAAAGGCACGAAAACAGGATTTATGTTTCACTAAAAAAGTTTTTTTTGTTCGTCGAAATATCAATTCACTGTCTAATACTCTAATATGTTTGGATCATTAATAAGGAAATGCATACATTTTTACTCATACCTATAACTTGAAGGATCTGTTGGCAAAATATCAGCAAAACTGTCATCTGTAGGGTGCCAAGGATGTTTGAATACCTCACTCCACATGCTAAATTTTTTCTGAGCATCATCTTTATCATCAGTTTTGCGGTAATGATTACATATCCTTACCTCTCTGGTTGAATCATCGGACACAAGAAGAGCCTTGTCTTGAGAGGGCAGATGGAACAAATCTGTGACAGCAGATAACATGCTTTGACACAATTCCTGTGGCACTTTATGATTCTTTATAAGAAAAAAACCATACTCCTCACATGCTCTCGCAATCTCTTTGATAATGTGGTTAGTTTCTTCACTTCCCATGTCAATTATTGGAACTTTATGACCAGAGTTGGATACTTCTGCTAAATTTGGCCTTTTCTCCACGGGAAGGATGAAACTAGGAGTCAGTGAAGGTCCATTTGCCCCACTTGAATAATCATTCCCTTCTATGTTTGCCCACTTGAATGCATCCCTCCTATACGTTGCAGATATTTTGGTGTTCATAATCTTCTCACGTGACGAAATATTAATGCTTGTCATAGGAGATGTTCGTCTCAAATTGATGTTCAAGCTTGTCATATAAACACACCCCAGTGGAGGAGTAAATTTAATCATCATCATATGCCTGTAGAATCACAGCTCTTTTTGAGACCTGTGTTGCACGAATACATGTACTGAAGTTTAATCAAAACTGGGGTAAGGTGTAGGTTTATACAAAAACATAAATCTACATGTATAATTATACTCCGAGTATTTAATAACAAAATAGTGGGAGGAAGATTTAGGGCGGGAACACTGTAGCCAGCTCTTTTGGAGTGGCTTTTATTTGATGTAATGACGATGCTATGGATAAACGAGATGGCCTAAGAAATTAGTACCGAGATGTGAGATGACTATGCAATTCATGTAGATGAATAAATGGTTTATACGTAAATAAAAGGCTGCCACGTAAAACGTGGAAAAACAATTAATTTAATTTGTCATAATGATGCAACAGAAAATCAAGATATGGCTGGACGTACAGTTAATTTAATTTGTTGCATCATTACATTAACTTTGCCGAGGCAGTAGTATTTTCTAGAAATTAGATATGAATTGTTGGCTCTATGCACCAATGTTTCTGACTCTTGGACTTCTCAATACTGATTTGATTCTATATAAAGCATAACATTTTTGCATATGTGGAACATTGTGAGGCTGCCCAGCCAATCATCCATTGAATACCGCAGTAATCCTCCATCTGGCCCATCACCAGGTACAAAAAATCTTCAAAATTTACTTCTAAAAATTTACTTCTCGACTTATACCCAACAGGTGCTATTTTTCAATAGCAGATAGCATATGGCGAGTGCTCAAGGTGTATTTTTCCATAATAAGGCGAGTGCTCAAGGTGTAATCTTGCCTCTATGCATCAAATATTTCAATATTTTGATCAATCTAGACAAATATATGAAATGCTACTACCCATTACGGTGTAAGTACACATAACACATTTTTTTCTACACCTACTTATAAAACGTCAAGTTAAGAAATGTAAGTTGTGTGCATAAGGCATAGTTTTTGTATTCAGCTTACTCTAAACCTTCATAGAGGTAATTATCTTTTGTATTTTTCTTTTAGTTTCTTTATTCAAATTACATAGAAAAGTATTACTTCCTAATCTGAGGGCGTGAATGATTATGTTTGAAGTTGCTCACTGTATAAGTATATATAATAGCAACACCTTAAGATTGATGTAGAAAAAACTGTGTTAAGTAGGTTTCAAAACACATACCAGCTTAATCTAGACACTTAAAATCGTGCTTAAATAAATATAAATTTAAGGTCTTTATATTCAATATTGCAGTTGGTGATCAAAACCAGCATGAAAAATCTTTATTACACAGCAGTATACATGAGTTTTCCGTGGCTCACTGGAGAGAAGAAAGTGTACAATTGTTTGTGATTCACCATATTTAGTGAGCAATGTGTTAGTTGTCTATTAATGGACAAAACTGAAGCAAATGAAGATTTTGAAATTTTAATTTTGAAATAAAAACTCCAAGTAGCAAGCAACTTAGCAACCATTCAATACAAAAATATATAATAAGAACCTAGCAGCATTCCGACAAGCATCAAATAGATAAACAACGAAGGTGAAAAATCTTTTTGGAATTTGAATATTTGAGAAATAAGCGAAGTGTAGCGGAAACAATACTGTGTGCGACGAAATTTTTTATTTCCTTACCGAAGGGGGGATCCTTTGAACTGGCTTAGATGATTTGAGAAGGTTGGAAGGCAGAATCGAATTAGTCCTCGGAGGACCAATTCCAGGATTGAGATGTAGGGAGGGCTAAGCAGTAAAAAAATTGTTACTATACATACAAGGTTTAGCTTAGGGTTGTTATCGAATCGAGCTTTTTTTTGAATTATATACTCGAGTTCGAGCTTGATTTTGCCTCTAATTTAATGATCCGAGCTTAATGAGCTTCAAACTCAAACACAGACTAGGTTTTGAGTTTGAATAATTATTCAAGCCCAGTTCGAACATAGTGATGTTTGGTTTGATCCGGACTCGATCCTATCGTTTACTTACAAATTATAGGAATAAGTTATATACGAAGTATATCTTAAAATTTAAACGTTTTTCAGTGCAATTTTATAAATTTATTACTGATTCTTAAAGATTCAAGTTTTTATTGAATAATTCGAACATGAATCTATTAACGAGTATAGTCTAAACTTCTACATTCGAGCATGTTTATCGTGTGTTAAAGTTGAACACTGAAAATCTATCGATCCAAAATCAAGCTCAATTGCATAATAAGTAAATATTCATTTCATTTTTCTTTCTCGTCAATATGTTCATTATCCATTCTAAAAACCATTTTCAATATTGGTATGAATTAAAATACTTCTATAAAAGTATAAAACTAATAAGAAAAAACAATCATTGTACATAAAACTAATAAGTTTTCCCAATTTCAAAATTCAATTGAGAATTTCAATTTTTCTTACATGTCCACACAATAAATAAATCATTCTCTAATCTTCAATTGTATAATCAATAAATCGTTCTCTAAGATTTTATTCTATCTTTAATCATTATAAATTTATAATGATTTTTTTTGTATGTACTGAATTTTTAATTAATAATGAAGTTGATTAACTAACGGAAGGACGGCCAGAGACTCAATTAATAATTTAATCATTCTGATATTCTCAAATATATACGGCCAGAGAGTATATATTTCAATTCATAATTTAATCATTCTCTAATATAAGGCCAGAGAGTAAATATTTCAATTAATAGTTTAATCATTCTTTAATATAAGGCCAGAGAGTAAATATTTTAATTAATAATTTAATTATTCTCTAATTCACAAGACAAGTTAACAAAAAATTAAAAAATTAATTATTCTCTAATATACGAGACAAGTTAACAAAATCACAACATAAGAAAGTAAAGATCTAACAAAAAACTCACCTGCAAGGCTGCGCCAGAGCTGGAGGCAGAGCCCGGAGAGGAAGGACGGCCGACAACGCAGCCCCCTGGGACCTGGAAGGCTGGACGCGCGGCGCGGCTGATGGCTTGGTGGTTCGCTCTTCGTCGCAGGGTCGCAGCTTCTCGCCTCGCAAGCTTTTAGTTTCTTCGATTTTCTTTCTTTCCGCAGGATGTTGATTCTGGCTTTAGGCTGTGGGCCGGGCTGAGGTTAATTTTGGGGTGGGCTGATAATAAAAGAAAAGAAAATGAAAACTAATAATCCAACCTTTTAGCGGTCTTATTTTAATAGTCCCACCTTTTCGTTATTCATGAATAATCCAACTTTTGCACCTCATCTTCATTCACTGGTCCCTGACCGGTTGATGACCTGCTATTCCAAGTTATTTTATTATCTTTGCAAAATATTATCTTTGTGAAAGGTGGAATTCATGGTATAATAGTTTGCAAAGATAAGAAAATAACTCGGAATAGCAGGTCATCAACCGGTCGGGGACCAATGAATGAAGATGAGGTGCAAAGGTTGGATTATTCATGAATAACGCAAAGATCGGACTATTAAAAAAAGACCGCTAAAAGGTTGGATTATTAGTTTCCATTTTCCCTAAAACCTATACCTCTACTAATAAAAAACATATATGGGCTGGGCTGGAGCCCCTCACAGCCATCCGCCCCTGGGTCCTCCGATTATGCGCAAATTATACCGTGGGATCGGTCCAGCTTGCGCAGCGTGTGCTGATCCCAAACGACGGCGTTTTGTTTAATAAAAAACAGTCTGCCGACTCCCAATGTGTAAACCCATCATGCCCTAGCTGATTTGATTTGGAGCAAGGAAGAAGCGTCGGGAGTTATGGATCCTGATTCCTGTTGAGCCGCCTCCCACCAAGCCTGAAGAAAAAGCTTTGCTGTCCTACAATGGAATCATCTGGCAGCTGCGTATCTCTGCTCTCAAGCTGTCAAGCAACAACCCGCCGATCGATCCAGGGCATGGATGTGTGATAAGGAGATGAGGAATTGAACTCCGGCTCCTAACTTTGGGATTGATTTACTGCATTTGAGATAGCCATCTTTGAGAATCCCCTCCCTTTTTGTGTACCGTAGCTTAAGTTCCTCACTATGTATTAGTTCTTCATTGAAACGATGAGTTGACTCTTTATTGTCCTATTGAGCCGTCCCTTGCGAAGTTACATTTCTAATAAAATGATTTACATTTACATTTATATCAAGTTACATATTTAATAGCGTGAGTTACACTTCAGCTTTCATCAGCAAGTTACATTTTCTTATAGGGAGATTTCAACAAATAGGATCTAATCATACTAATTTTCTAAAAATAAGACAACAAATTAGCATAAGACTTAAGTAAACCTCCTTTGACCAAATTGCCCTGCTTTTAAATTTCTTAGCAGGCCACATCCCCATTCCGTCGCACACACCACATCTCCACATCTCCACATCTATAGATTAGCAAGGCATGGATAGAGCGGTGACCTGATAGGCATGGAAGAGGAACAATAGTAAGGCAAACAGCAGCGAGAAGTGAATCTCCGTAGGAGCCCCAATAGGAATTTGCAAAACGAAACACTTGCTTTGCAGTTTTGAGGAGTGCTGAAGAATCTGCGGGATCAGATCGCCGGAAAACCAAGGAGGAAGAGGCCATGCGGCAGCGGTTTCCGCCGCGACTTCGGACCAAGGAGCATGGGATGTGACCGAGTAGGGGTCCGTGGAGTGTCGTACTCTGCAAATCAGATCCAAAACTTTTGAAGAAACCAGATCCAAAATCAAACTTGCAAACTTCTTCTTCTTCTATTTTGATTTTGGACATTGATTTTGCCAATTTGGAACTTCTATTTCATATTTTCACAAGGCCACAATGTGTTGCAAAACTTTTGAAGAAACCAGATCCAAAATCAAACGTGCAAACCCTAGACAATATATAGACATTAAGCAGTCCGTAAACAAACAATAAGTTCTAATAATACTCAATAACAGACAATACATAGACAATAAGTAGTCATTAAACAGGCAATAAATTCTGATAATAGCTCAACAGCAGAGCAGGTCACGTAAAACAGTAAGTGAAGGATAAAATTGGAAGTTTAAAATCCAGTTTTCAAAAATAGAACTACATAGCTCTTACTCAAGGAAAAAACGTACGTAAGTACTATTTTTATAAAAGTGCTATGATTGAGTCCTACCGTAAGCAATTTTCTCTTTCTTATATGTGATTTACATCTTTTTAGAAACAAGTTACATCTTCAGAAGCGCAAGTTATATTTGTAATAACATGAGTCACATTAAAAAAACCTCTGGTATTCAAACAAAAAAATGAATTCTTTTAAATCCTATTAAGTAATTCACGATTTACTTAATATCATGATATTAAACACCAAAGATATTCATGATTTATATAAAGTAATTGTGCAATTAAACTCTATTTTTCATTGTTTACATTGATATCAATGTTTTATTTCTTATAGTATGCATTTGATAAGTTACATTTCGAATTGACTTGAGTTACATTGATCAATAACGTGAGTTACATATCTTTACACGCAAGTTACATCATTCATACTACTAGGACAAAAAACAGTTATTGTACACACGTTACTGTTCACGCAATTTTTTTTATTTTAAAAATCATGCAAAACTACATCGTTTTGGGTTTGGGAGCACGGTGCTCATCGTGGGGTGATACCACGGACCGTGGGTGAACAAATTATCTGGAAGATTTTGAGATAAGAGGAGGACGCTGCCATAGTCGTGGAAGGAAGCGGCGATAATTGGTATGAAGCGGTTAATTAAGTTTGTGTTTTGGATAAATGTTTTTCTTCACGGGGTGATTTTTTTCCAAGCTTAAATTGTCCTAAATAGGAGTAAAAACGTTTTGAAATTCCAAAATAGGAGTATCATGTTTTTTATTCCTTAAATAGGAGTAATCTGCCAAGTTTGGGAAAAATGTCATGTTTAAAGCCTTGTAATTTCCAAACTTGGCAGAAATTTACTCCTATTTAGGGAATAAAAAACATGATTCTCCTATTTTGGAATTTCAAAACGTTTTTACTTCTATTAAGAGAATTCTCTCTTTGAATTTTTGATAAAGTTGGGCTTTATGAATACGGAGTACGGAGTATGTGTTAAAATTATAAGGACCATGTAAATTCTAATTGTATTTGATATATGCTTTAAATTTATATTTTACTCATTCAACATTTTAATTTTATTAACTTAATGTATACTCACAAGATTTAAGGGAGAATAGTAAGAGTAATAAATAATGTAGAAAAAGTATGAGAGAAAATGAAAAAGTAGGAAAGATAAGATAAAAAGTAGAAAAAGTAATAGTCGATTAAAGATGCATCAACGATTGAACAAATAGGTGCATCAACGATTCCACTCCCGCATCACACAGTCCACACTTCACCGTACACCCAACTCCTCATCGCCACAATCCCTCCATCGTCGGTAAACAACCAATACAAATTTGCCAAAATAGAGTGTTCATCTATAGTTGAATATCCCAGGTCCACATCACTGTCGAACCCCACCAATCATTGGATATTACCTCACAGATAAGCCTGCTATAGCAGGTGCGAGTGGAAAACTTGCCAATCAATTCTCAATTCCAAAAGTCTATCTGGACCGCTCTCGTGCTTAGGGGTAGCTTTCGGATTAAACCCCAAAAGTTTTAGTGACACTTGAAAAGTGTCAACGAGTGGTTGGAGTTACGACACTAAAATTGGTGTCACTGTAAAAGTGTGAGAAAATTGTGACATCTTAATATCATATATTATAATGATGCATTTGTATTGGTATACTTAAACTGACACATTGACACCATATAAATCAGTGATACACTAATACTACTAAAACTAATTATATTCTTCCGCCATTCAAATTTATGTATGGAAAAATTACGACATGTTGTCATCCAATTCCTTTTTTTGATACTACAATATCAAGTCTTGAACAAGTTTTATGAGAGAAAAATCATATTTAGAACTGCCATATCCACCTAAAATGTTAATATTCAAGCTTAAAATCAAAACATAAAAGCAAATTCATAACCATTCAATTAAAGTATCCCATAACTAAAGTCAATTAGAATGAAATCAAAGTCAACATGAAAATCTTTATCTTTATATAATGTAAAGTAACAGTCGGGCTACAATTTTTGGAAGCAAAATAAGGGCAAAATTGCCGCCCAAAATAAGGGCAAAATTGCCGCCCAAAATAAGGACAAAATTGGAAGAAATGGACACAAAAAGGTAATCGGTAAATGCATCCATATACTCCGTATTTAGCAGTAAATGCATCCATTAATTAATCGAGCTAATCTAATTACGGAAGGAAAAATTGCATCCATACATTTAGCAGTAAATGCACTCGCACTACACCATATAGCATATAGGTAATCCCACTTTTGAAGTTAATGATCCATATGTATAAAAGGAAACATAAAAGCTATAAACGGACTGTCCACTATATATACACTTGCCCATATACTATAGAAACAAAAATATTAATATTAATTAATTAAAAAATGTACGGAGTATTAATAAAATCTACTTGGAGAAATCATTGCACCAAAAACTACTCCATATCAAAAGTTGTATTTGGACCTTAATTCAAAGGAGTAATCAGCAATACACGAATGCATCAATTCAATGTATTTGTACACATAAATATTACTCCCTAGTTTTCATTCATTAGTCAATTCAGAAATATGGTTTTGCTTATTTTTGTCACTGTCGTTATTGTTTTGTATTAATGATATTGTTTAAAGTGCCCTATTTATTCAATTTATTATTTCATGTGTCAATTAAACATGACAAAGCTACAAGGGATGAAAGGAGCACGTAGCATCACATCTTCTTACAAACTAGGTAACACGGTAACACTAAAAGCAATATTCAATTTCACATTTTTTCAATGTACACGATGCACATGTGACATAACAAGGATAGACACATAAATATTACGGAGTAGTGAGTAAAAACCTCTCTCCTTTAGGTTCGGTACACATGGGTGATGGGACCCTAACCGAAACCAGCCCTAACTAATACTACGTACTTCATAATAATTTGGATAGTATAATTCAAATTCCGTAATAAATATTTCGTACGTAGTATGAGTAAGACCCGTATCACTTTGAACTTTGAAGTAAGAAATATGGCAAATTTAACATCACACAATGCCAAATTTATACACCCTAATTACAGTAATTAGTTGAACATTTAGATAATAACTATCCAAAAACTAATAGCATGCTTTCAATGTGGCGAAAATTAAAGTAAATATAATTATTTAACATATGTACATAAAATGGGACATATCATGTAATAAATATGGTTGTGATCACGAAAGCTATTATATATTGATTTCATTTAAATTTATTTATATCATTTTCATGTTTATTATTACCTCCATTCCATTAGGAGAAGGTGCGATTATTAAGTAAAGTGAATTTATACGGTTAATATAGAATTAATAAAATAAGAATTATTTAGAACCACACAAACTTTAATTTAGCAAATTTGGTATGTGACAATAATTAGTCAGACAGACCGAAGATGAAATAATCTTAGCGAGATGAAAATTTTACTTTAAATAAAATGAAGAAGTTTTTGATAGAGTTAAATGAGGAAAGTTGACAAGGTTTTACAAGGGAATGTTTTTATTGTGGTCGAAGAAGTGAAAATAATTTAAAATATATCTTGCTTGCAGCTTTATATTTTGAAGTAATTAATTTAATAAAAAATTGTCATAATTTAATTATAAAGCATGACTATTATGAATGTTTTTAATTGGAATCATTTCCGTCTTAGACAAGATCAGATCATACCAGACCAGATCAAAATAGACTTCGACAGTTGCAAAATACACAAAGACCAGACATCTATTAGACCAGACCAGACCAGTTCAGATTATACTAATTAAACTAGATCAGATTAGACAAGACCCAACCAGACCAGAAAAATTTAGTCTAAGTGAGAACATCATATGATTATGAACTAAATATTACTCCGTAGTAATTAAACAATCGTCTTATTTCATTTTCATAAAGAACTTATTTTTATGGCTCATCGTTTTTTCTAATTTACTTGCAATTTTCATCTGCAATTACATTTTCACACAAAGTACCAATATATAATCAAAGTTACAATTTATACACCCTACTATATTGTTCTATTGGGAAAACGGTCAGATAGACCTTTTGTATTGTTTTCAATTCATTACTTAAGCTATTCTACTTTAAAAAGTATAATATAAGTACCGTTATTTTTAAAATTCAATCAATCAAGAAATTTTGACCTCTTATAGCAGATTATTTTTTAAATAAATTAGCACTATTGATAAATCTTATAAAAATTCATATAGATTTGAAAATAATGTAATTTAATAGATAAATTAGCTATTATACACTATTGATAAATTAGCAGTATGTATACTTTTCATATAAATAGTATACATGTAAAAATAGATAAATAATTTAATAATATTAAAACAAAACAAAAAACTGAAAACTTACAAATAAAGTGAAAATGTAAAAAATATAATAATACAAAACGTAAAAACCCTTTTAAATGATGTAACATATAAAAATATTTTTAAAATGAAAAAAAATATTGAATTTAACAATAAGAAATTATCCCCAATTTTTATCTATCTGTCGATCTTCAAATTTAAACAATTTTATAAGTTTTTAAAATATATATAAAAAACTATTTCTTCAGGCTATTTTGAATAGAAGGGCTGACTTCATTCTT